ATTTTCTTCTGAACTTTTCTTTCTTTCCTGTTCTCATTTTATTGCATTCTCTCCCAAATTCTTTTTCTTCTCTCTTTCTTATATATATATATAATATATATATATATATATATATATATATATATATATATATATATATATATATATATATATATATATATATATATTCTTTTTCATCCCATCTCTTTTTTCTTTACTTTTCATATTTTATTCTTGCCTGTTCCATTGCAAATCTTTCTTTCTTTCTTTCTTTCTTTCTTTCTTTCTTTCTTTCTTTCTGTCTTTCTTTCCTTCCTTCCCATATGCAAATTCTTGTCGTTTCTGCAGTTATCCTTACTAGCTTTTAACATCTTTATAATTTTTCTTCCTTTTTTTGTCGCCTAAGTTTATTCATACTTATTCTACCTCAAGATTTTCTTTCTTTCTTTCTTTCTTTCTTTCTTTCTTTCTTTCTTTCTTTCTTTCTTTCTCTTTCTTTCTCTACTATCGATAGAGTTCAAAAGCGTCTCCCTGTCCCTATGGGTAACGAATTATTTTCCACAAAACAACCCCTTTCTCACAGACGAGACGTCGCAAACTTCTCGCTGATCTATCGCTATTTCCATGTAGTGTGTTCATATGAATGTACACTCCTTACAGTCCTAAACCACACGTCTAAGATCCTCCATGCCATACACATTGTGATTAAGCCCCTTCATTCTATTCGCATACCTTTGGTGAAATATATGTTCCACCCGAACAGCTTCTTCCTATGAATCACAACCATGTCTAACCGATATCCCAATCACTGCAATCATAACCTGTTTAAGCCTCGTGTTAACCGTTACCTTCCTTACATATACTCACATTTTAATTAATACAATGATCATCTTTTCTTTTTTGTCATATTTTTCATTCTTTTTTATACCACAATTATTTCGTTATTCGAATTCATACCATCTTATCGGAATCGATCTCTGTTTTCTATCGATCCCCCTTTTCTGAAAAATCATTAAATCTCTTATAAGATAATCTTCAAAATGGTGAGTAAGAAGTTTTTGAGGGGAGCAAAAAGTCCATTCAACTTTGATGGAGACTTATATATCGATAATGAACACACACACACACACACAGTTGAACGCCTATACATACACAGATATTCACGCACGCACACGAGCACGCATGCACACACCCAGACCCACCCATAATCAATATTTAACAAAAAAGAAAATGATAAAAAAAAAAAAAAGGAAATGAAAAAGAAAAGATTTGTGGAATAATTATTTGAATTTTAATGATTTTTTGCAGGAAAATTTCTAAAAAAATTTCTGTATGATAACCAACTTTCATGAAACCAGATTTTTTGAATCTGATTGTTAATTTTGTTTTGAAAGTCGAATTTGTTTTTAAGAGAATACACTTTCTTTGACAGATTTCCACAGTAAATATTTGTTTTTTTTTCAAAATATGGTTACATTTCAATTTTTTTCTTTTTTTTTCTTTTTTTTTGTTCAAAGTCAAATTAAATAAACCAGCAATTCAAAGTTCAAAAGTCACCGTTGATTCGTGGAGAATTAACGTGAAAGAAAGGAAGAAAGATGGTCTCGGACAAACAGAGTTCCAGATTCAATCCAACCATTCTTACATACGAATTCTTTCTAGGCTCCCTCATAGGTGAAGAGACCGTGCAGGTCTGTGTGCTAAAATGTTAGCGGCAACACTCACAGACACGCGCTGTCTACTCACTGATGAGGCTGGCTATATCAGCAACTCTGTCTGAGCATCGCATCTCATTAGTCACAAGAGAAGATGGTAAGTGAACCTAAGCACTCACGGGAAAACGCAACATTCTCCACATCCATCTCTTATTTCTTTTATACTTTTCTTTCGCCTTTTCACACGTCCTTTATTTCTTTTTCAGTGAACAATTCTTTTTATTCTGTCTTTATCCACCACATTTGTATTCTTTCTTTCTTTCTTTCTTTCTTTCATTCTTGTTCGTTGGCCTACTTATTCTTTCTTTCTTTCTTAATTCATTTGTTTTTCTTTCGTTCCTATTCGTTGACCTACGAGCACAATTTCTTTCTTTCTTACTTTCTTATTTTTTGGCCTATATATTCATTCATTCTTTTTTTTATTTATTTGGCGTATTTATATTCTTCATCTTTCTCTCTTTTTTTTCTTTCTTTCTTTCTCATTCGTTGGCCTAAGTACAGAATTTCTTTCTTTCTTTCTTTCTTTCTTTCTTAATTCATTTGTTTTTCTTACGTTTTTCTTTCGTTCTGTCTTTATTTCCGATTCGTTGACCTACGAGCAATATTTCTTTCTTTCTTTCTTTCTTTCTTTCCTTCGTTTAATTTCTTATTCTTTTTTCCCTTCTTTCTTCTCATTCATTTCCTTTTTAATTTATTTGGCATATTTTTTTTTTCTTTTTCTTTGCTTTCTTTTTCTTTCTTTCTTTCTCATTCGTTGACCTACGTATATAATTTCTTTCTTTCTTTCTTTCTTTCTTTCTTTCTCATTCGTTGACCTACGTATATAATTTCTTTCTTTCTTTCTTTCTTTCTTTCTTTCTTTTTTCATTCGTTGACGTATTTATTTTCTTTCTTTGATTCTTTCTTTCTTTTCGTTTCTTCTTTCTTTCTTTTTCTTTTTTTTTCTCATTCGTTGACCTGCGTATATAATTTCTTTCTTTTCTTCTTTTTTCTTTGGCTTATTTATTCTTTCTTTCTTTCTTTGGCATATTTATTGTTTTCATTCATTTGTTCTTTCTTTCTTTCTCATTCATTAGCTTACGTACACAATTACTTTCTTTCTTTTATTCTTTTTTATTGCTTTTTTCTTTCTTTCTTTCTTTCTTTCTTTATTTCTTTCTTTCTTTCTTTCTTTCTTTGGCTTATTTATTCTTTCTTTCTTTCTTTGGCATATTTATTGTTTTCATTCATTTGATCTTTCTTTCTCATTTGTTGGCCTACATACAGAATTTCTTTCTTTCTTTCTTTCTTTCTTTCTTTTCTTTCTTTCTTTCTGTTTGCCTACCTCTACTCCAATTTTCGTTCTTTCTATATTTTCACTTTCTTTATTCTAAACCTTTTTACGTCTTTTTCTTAAGTACATTCGTTTCTTGTCCTTGTCAATTCTCTTTTGTGTGTATTTTTTTATTAAATAAATACATTTGCAGTTTTTATTTACTGTAAAATAACCTTCATTTAAATATTCAATCGATTTGCCATCAGATTTGCTTATATTAATTTACAAAGAAATGTTGTATACTTTTTAATAAAAGAAGATAAAGAACAGTTAATAGTTACAAAGGATAAGAAGCTGTGGAGGGATATGATCGCCCACGTCCTGATTTGGCACGGCATATAAAAGAAGATATTTTAAAAAATAAAACAAACTGTCTAATTTTGTATATTATTAAAATACTAAATGAATTGAAATTATTTGACGGTTAGCGTAAGTATTTAACAAATCTAATGATGTCGAGTCATATCAAATGCAAAGGGCCGATTTTATATAATACCTTTTAATGTCCAATATAAAACAAAATAAAGTAGCTCAAAATTTAGTGGGGACATAATTTTGTATCTTGTATTCGCTTTTTGAATTTTATTATTGCATAGAGGTGACCACTTTTGGTAGATGCTACCAAATGTGGTCACCTACTCTTCGCAATAATGAAATTGAGCACATTTCAGAACATGAATTCAACCCGTGGAATATTTTATACTACCAGGAATACCCAGCTGGTCGATCAGAAAAAGCGTTCAATTAGAATGAAGCAAAAACAGCATCATGTTTAGATGTAAAGGAGTCTATCTTCTTCAGTTACTTTAAAGTACTTTCATTAAAAACATTTTGAATTGATACAGTTACTGATATAACAGAAATAGGCTGTATTTATTCGATCGAAATTAGCCGAGTACATGAATGGGTAAAACAGGCAACACGAAGATTGACTTCAGACCACAATGAATTTGGGAGTTTTGAAATTCAATTTGCCAGTGTGCTACTAGGGATGTAAAAGAGGATACATTTATAAAGCAATTGTTAAGTTTGATGAAAGTTGGTTGAAAGATCAACAAAAAATAAGAAATAAACTAGTAAAAATCGCCATCTTTCGCTATTTACACTGGCTTTCACTTCATGGGTGAACTCAATTATCAAGTTCAATGACTGTTAATCAATCAACTTATTGTTGGCTACAATTGACTGAAGTTTGTATTAGATTGCTTGAAAATTAAGAGAGTCCGTAGTTTAAAATTTGTGTTGAAATCGATTTGTATTGAAATCGATTTTTCTTTTGTCGCGGTTTTTTTTGCTAAACGCCGTGGCGTACGAATAAAAATGAGGTATCGTTGAGCGGCTCATGATGTAAGTAACCTACATACCGAGTCTGGACTAATTCGGAGGAAAATGTTGATTTATCGATTTTTGATCTGCTTTATTGATTTTTTTTTTAAAGTATCAAATTTTTACGCTAAGAACGCATCTCTTACATTGTACAATGTGTATGCCAATTTTGGTCAAAATCGGTTGGAGTAAAAAGGTAAAAGACTAAAAAGGTATCACACAGACAGACAGACACGCACACAGACAGACAGACACGCACACAGACATCCTCCGTTTTATATATATATATATATATATATATATATATATATATATATATATATATATATATTGATTGGTTGTTTCGTTTTATACGGTTTATCAACACTTTGCAGGTTATTTAAAGTCATAAAATATCAGATTGTAAGAATTTTTTAGAGATAATAATAATTTACTGATACAAGTTTTATTAATTAAAACAGCTGAGGATATTTACACATAAGAGAATATAACGAACACAACTGGAATTTGAACTCGGCTCTACAATAAATAATTCCAAGCTATTATTCATTAAACCACCCGCACATTTAAGCTGACAGCAAGTACCATTCCAAAGCCTTCCCCCATCGAGTTACTGATCATGCTTGACATTGCTTAACTACGGTGATCGTACGAGAATCGGTGTTTCAACAGTATTTCATAATCGAGTTAAAACGCATATAGCCCAGAAAAGGAAAATATTTGATTGTTTGTGTGCGTATGTGTATGTGTGTGTGAGACAGATAGATAGATACATAATGAACAGCCTGAGATAGATAGATAGATAGATAGATAGATAGATAGATGAATGAATAGATAGATGAGATAGATACAAAAAAAACTGACATACATAGATATGAAAAGGCAAATATAGATAGATAGATAGATAGATAGATGAATGAATGAATAGATAGATGATAGATGGATAGATAGATGACATAGATAGATAGATAGATAGACATAAAAAGACTGACATACATAGATATGAAAAGGCAACGATAGATAGATAGATAGATAATGAACAGCCTGAGATAGATAGATAGATAGATAGATAGATAGATAGATAGATAGATAGATAATGAACAGTCTGACATAGATAGATAGATAGATAGATAGATAGATAGATAGATAGATAGATAGATAGATAGATAGATAGATATGAAAAGACTGACATACATAGATATGAAAAGGCAAAGATAGATAGATAGATAGATAGATAGATAGATAGATAGATAGATGAATAGATAATGAATAGTCTGACTAGGGAAAAAATAAAACAAAATAAAAAAAAAGATAAATAATGCTTATGTCCTTTCTTGTATACGGATAATTATCACGCCAATTAGAGAGCGTTAAGGGAAGTCTCCTAGCAAACAAGTGGCAGTTATTTATCTGATGTGTTGTTCTCACAGAGTCTGATTGTGAGGAATTCACCTTCACAAATTTCTTTTGAAAAGTGTCAGCAAGATTTTGCTTTACTTGCACTAAATTTTATAACAGATCTACTTTCACCGATATTTTGCTAATATATCGTTATTATTATTATTATTATTATTATTATTATTATTTTAGCAACCTATCCGACTCTTAGATGTTACGTCCAAGGGATGATGGTATCATCATAATGCCAGGAATCCCCAAAGCGTCATGCGATGCAGAAGGATTCCTGGAAACAATATGGAGTGAGCCAGTCACAAAAGAGACAACTTGAGATTGGTATATTTCTCACATTTACGCTGTCAGGTTTTGGCACCTTCGTATTTTCGTCTGATACCCCTTCACGATATTATTTTTCCAAGGTACCATACCGTTTATCGGGATCCATTCATGCCTTCTCTTATGCGCAAGTGTTATATCAGGGTGATTGCTCTCTAAGCACATGTCAGATGGACATATCCCACATGAGCTTCACTTGCCCATTCTCGGCTATTGACAATGGTGAATGGTTATATTATTATTATTATTATTATTATTATTATTATTATTATTATTGTTTGCGTATGTTATGTGTTCTGATTTGTATCCTGTAAAGCCGGGTCTAAACTATGGTCCTTAGACCCTTATCGGAGAATTGTCATTTAATTGATAGTACTTTTATATCTGGATTGTTTCTTGTAGGGCGATCTTCTGGGCAACATGTATGTTGGTGTTATCTGGGACAATTGTCCATTCATTTTCTTACAAGGCCCAGAGATCCGATTACTATTGATACAGTCTCAGTATTCATTCCCCTGTTAATCTCGATCTCCAGGTCCTTTTATTTGTACAATTTCTCGATAATTTTCATGGTGGTGTTTCTCTCAGATCGTACTGCTATGTGAATAAGCATACACTTCCTGAATTTCTTGTCTTTTATAATAATATCAGGTTTGTTGGTTTTTATTTCCTCTTCAGTTTGAATTGGCATGTCCCAGAGGATAGTCACACCAGCATTTTGGGTAAATGTGTCTAGTTTGTAGTCATACCATCTCTCAGTGGTTTCGATTTTGTGCTTGGAGTAGATATATCCGAAGTTTAATATGGAAACTACATTACAGACAAATCTTCACGATATAGGACCAGGTATGATAAAAACAGCGCAGAGCCTTTGAAGTTGGGTTCATTTAGGAATACCTTCAGTTCACTCCAATAGTCTCCAATTGAAAGTATTTTCAAATATCAAGCTATGCTTCAAAAGTCGTCTTGGCGCTTTTCGTACTTCAAATTTTAAAAGAAAAAAAAGATCTCAGCAGTCGGCCATGATGTTCCCTCACTACACCCGGTCAAGAAAAGAGGTGCACAGTGTGTTAGTCTGTAGGGGACATGCCCAGGTGGTATTGGTAAGTGTATCAGCCCATATAAGACATGCCCAAATGGTTTAGGTCAGGCAAATGACAAGCAGTTATGTGGTACTGAACGAGAAATTATTTAACTCATCTTAAAAAGACAAAACATGTATGTGTTAACAATTAAGATCTGAAAAATTCAAATCCAAATCTAAAGTAGCAGTCAGTTATGTGCCATGCGTTTTACACGCTTAGGCGATCAGGTATCTTTCGATACATGACTGACAAGACAGACTTTTTCCAGCAGTAGGTTGCCATTTCTTTTTGCGGTAGACCAGTTGCCATCCAAGGCTATAGAACCCGGTCTGTCCAGCTATTTACCCATAGCTTGGGGATAAGAAGAGAATTCATGCCTTTCTCAATGGTATTAGCACGTAAGTGAATGTAATGAAATATTATTATTATTATTATTATTATTAATTTATTTCCTTTTATTTCTGGTGTATACTCATTCTTTCTGGGTCCCGACCAGAGAATTAAGGTCAGAAATGTTATCATGACATTTTCCACTGAGCAGTTTTTAAAAAACAAACAACACATACTTTCCATAGATAAAATTCTTCGTAAGGTGTAGGCTCTACTTGTGAAAATTATTTTTTGTATTCCTTTACGGCTTGAGTTTATTGGAATCTTTTCCAATCAATCCGAGGGCACCAACTACAAATGGAATTGTTGATGTCCTCATGTGCCACATTTTTCAGATTTTGATTTCAAGTTCCTTGTATTTTGATTGTTTTTTGAAGATCTTCAAAGATACATTACAGCCTACAGGGACTGCCGTGTCAATAAGAAGCCACATTTTCTTTTTGCAGTCTCTCAGCACAATTTGTCACAGCAATTTATTTTCCAACAATGTATTCTTTTTCTGCATACTAATTAAAATGGACGAAGAAAGAACGAAATATAATTTATACCATCAAGAAACTGTAAGCTCTCATGAGAGTATCTAATATAGTTTACGCATCTATTAGTGTAACATCAGGATTGCTTTCATTAGTAACTGGAAAAAAAAATATCCTGAGATTGAATATAAACGTAAAATAAAAACTCCAATTTCTTATCGCTTCATAATAAATGTATCACGTTCAATTATGCCAAAACAAAATTAGAGATAAAGAACTTATAACATCAAATATATATCTTTGAAAAAACATTTTAGATGACTTAATTTAATGATCGTTGCGTTACAAGGTACAAGTCTCGTAGAAAAACATTAAAATTGTTAGCTGTGATTGTTCTGTCTGTGTATATTGTAAAGTCCCATAAAATTGTTACCGGTCCTATATCCTTAACCAGGTCTGGGTCGTGTTCATAGCAATTTCTTGGAGTTTTCTTTCCGTAAAAATTGCATATTTTCCAATGCAGATATTGGCCCACTCTACCATGTTGTGTTTTATATTCAGTGGGTGCCAACACTGCGCAACCTAACACAAGATAGTCAATTGTTGTTTTTTATTATTATTATTATTATTATTATTACTACTACTACTACTACTACTACTACTACTACTATTGTAAAAGCCAAAATATATTTTTGACCTGTATTTTTAGTAATCACATCCCAGGTTCTAACCAATGAAATAGGGAAAGCGAAGCATGTGATTTATTGTTCTTCCCACTTAATTGAACAGAAGACAGCTCTTAAGAAAAAAGTTTAAATTGAGAAAGATTTTCACTCTATCATTATTATTATTGTTGTTGTTGTTGTTTATGCTGTTATTGTGCTGAATTACTTGAAACAATACACAATGACAGGGAAGGAAGAGTTTTACTGGATCCATGTCGGTTTTAAAAGTGATTGCAAAATGAATTTTTCAGTAAAGAGTTTGGATTAACAGACGAAGTAAACCTAATTCTGTATCAATTACACCTCCTTTCTCAGGATTACTTTGCGCACAGACAAACATACATCCATACTTGTGTTTGACTTTGCATGCGTGTGTGTGTGTGTGTGTGTTTATTCACAGAAAAGCCCATGTCTTACATCTACATGTGATTATTTCGTCATAAAACAATTGCAGGATGTTTATTATTAGAAAATATCTTATTGAATTTTGTTCAGAAACCTATCAACGACCTCAAGATGAATAGATAGGTATCTGTCTGTCTCTACACACACACACACACACATATATATATATATATATATATATATATATATATATATATATATATATATATATATACACACATACATATATATGCATATATATATATATATACACACACACACACACACATATATATAGACACATACATATATATATGCATATATATATACACACACACACACACACATATATGTGTGTTTTTGTGTGTATATATATATATATATATATATATATATATATATATATATATATATATATATATATATATATATATGTATTTTTGTGTGTAAAAGTGAGAAAATATAGGCTTATGGTATGCTATATTTACAAGCAAAATTGCTTAACATCAGGGATAGAGCTTATATTAATATAAATGTGTGTCTGTGCATGTGCGCGCACGCGCATTTGATTGATTCGTTTAAGCTATAGCTTAGAGGCAAATATCTGGACTCATAACTTCCCTAAGGGTATTTGCGCGTAAGAGAATTTAAAGAACCCAAATGGAATTCGAACTCGGCTCTCGGATTAACAATTCCGAGCCATTATCCATTAAACCGCCCAAACATCCAAGCGTAAGGCACATGGTATTCCTAGGCGTTCAGAAATCTAGGTACTGACCAGCTCGTACAAGAACTGGTGTTTCAATGTATACCATGAGACGTATGTGTGTGTGTGTGCTGTGTGTGTGTGTGTGTGTGTGTGTGTGTGTGTGTGTGTGTGTGTGTGTGTGAGAGAGAGAGAGAGAGAGAGAGAGAGAGAGAGAGAGAGAGAGACAAACAGACAGACAGACAGAATCCGTCGAAATAAGAAAATATATAAGAAAATTCGGAAAAGGGTCAATTTTGATATGCATTTGAAATAGCCTAATCAATTTAAGCGCGGGTTCGGGAATTTGGTGACATCGTAAAAGTGAGTTCAATCCTTGGGCTAGATCACAGTGATTCGGTGAAAACGGCATGCAATAAATTAACAGTAGCCAAAAAGAGCACGGCAGATATCCCTAAACGTGAACAGTGGAACGAAAACAATCTAACGCCGTAGATTAAATAAATAGGCGTCTTCGATATTTCCAAAAGTTTAATCGGATTGATAAGCACATGAAGAAGGCCATAGAGAACAGCAGTCGAAACATTGTGATAGCAACACTGATAATAACATCAATTCGAATATAAATCATAATAACAGACAGTAAAAGAAAATCAACATCAGTTAAACAAAACGTCATTAATGTTAAGCAAGATGGTAAAATGTTGATGTTGTTATTATTAATATAATTATAATAATAATTATTATTGTAAAAGTCAAAATATATTTTTGACC